CCAAATTGACAAAGCAATTTTGATTAAGTAAAACAAAGCTGGAGGTATCATGCTTCCTGATTTCAGACTATATTACAAATCTATCATATTGGCATAAAAACAGATACATCACTAGTACAAAATAGAGAGCCCAGAAAGAAACCCATGCAAATAGTCAATTAATTTATAACAAAGGAGCTAAGAATATACAATGAGGAAAGGACAGTCTCTTTAATAAATGCTGATGTGAAAACCGGATAGCCACATGCAAAAGAATGAAACAAAAGTACTATCTTAAACCATACACAAAAAGTAAGTCAAAATGGAATAAAAAGTTGAATGTAACACTTGAAACCAAAAAACTGCTAGAAGAAAATACAGGTGGTAAACTCCTCAACATTGGTACTGGCAATGATTTTTTGGATTTGACACCAAAAGCAAAGGCAATGGAAGCAACAATAAACAAATATGATTACATCAAACCAAAAAGCTTTCATGCAGCAAAGGAAATCATCCTAAAAATGAAAAGACAACCTACCAAATGGGATTAAATATTTGCAAATCACATATCTGATATGGGATTAATAGCCAGAATATATCAAGAACTGGGGCACCTTGTTGATTTGGTCAGTTAAGCCTCCAACTCTTGCTCTCAGCTCAGGCCATGATCTCAGGGTCATGAGATGGAGCCCTCTGCACTGAATGTGAAGCCTGCTTAAGGTTCTCTGTCTCCCTCTCTCTCTGTCCCCCCTACTCATGCTCTCTCTTTCTAAATATATATATATATATTTATAACTCAAGAATTCATATAACTTAATAGCATAAAAACAAATAATCCAATTAGAAAATGGGCAGGGGACCTGAATAGACATTTTTCCAAAGAAGATTCAGACAACACAGATGGTCAGTAGCTATATAAAAAGGTGCTCAACATCACTAACCATCAGGGAGGGGCAAATGCAAACCACAATGAGATATCACCTCGCACCTATTAGAATGGCTATTATCAAAGACAAAAAATTGCAAATGTGCAGAAAAGGGAACTCTTGTGTACTGTCGGTGGGAATGTAAATTGGTGCAGCCACTATCAAAAACAGTATGGATGTTCCTCAAAAAGTTAAAAATAGAACTATCAGGGCAACCCAGGTTGGCTCAGCGGTTTAGCGCCGCCTTCAGCCCAGGGCGTGGTCCTGGAGACCCGGGATCGAGTCCCACGTCGGGCTTCCTGCATTGAGCCTGCTTCTCCCTCTGCCTTTGTCTCTGCCTCTCTCTCTCTCTCTCTCTCTGTGTGTGTGTGTGTGTGTGTGTCTCCTTAATACATAAATAAAATCTTAAAAAAAGAATTAAAAAAATAGAACTATCATACGGCCCACCAAATCCACTTCTAGAGAGTCATCTAAAGGAAACAAAACCACTAGCTAAAAAAGATACCTGCAATCCCATGTTCATTGCAGCATTATTTACAATAGCCAAGACATGGAAGTGACCCGAGGGTCCATCAGTGGATGAATGGATAAAGAAAATGTGGTATATATACATCATGGCATATTATTCATCCATAAAAAAGAAGGAAATCTTGCCATTTGTAACAACATGGATGGACTTTAAGGGCATTATGTTAAGTGAAATAAATCAGACAGAAAGACAAATACTGTATGATCTCACTTATACGTGAGATATAAAAACAGAAACAAAACCCCTGAATGTATAGATAAAGAGAACAGATTGGTGGCTACCACAGGCAGGGGTGGATAGGCAGAAAGGATGAAGTTGGTCAAAAGGCATAAACTTCTCAGTTTTAAAATAAATGAGTCCTGGGAATGTAATGTACATCATGTTGCCTATAACTGGACATTGTGGTGATCTCTTTTGCAATATATACAAATATTGAGTCATTATGTTGTACACCCGAAAAGAATGTAATATGTCAATTATATCTCAAAAAAAAAAAAAAGGAAAGAAAAAAGACAGAAGACAGGGGAGCAAGTGCTGTTACTTTTTAAGGATGCCAGAGAAGCTGGGAAAAAAAGTCGACTCACTTGCTAAGTCCTAAGAATGAGAGGGAAAGGGACAGATGCTAGACTCCAGTGTAGAACAAGAAATAAGCTGGTGAGAAGTCTTGTGTACATTGAATGGGAGAAGGAAACATGGAACAAAGGAGGATGAAGAGACTCACCATTAGGGATTGTGACAGTATTTTTGGAGTACAGGTAAATTTTAACAAATATTTAGGGTACCAATTATTATATAATTTTGTGAAGAAAAAAATTTGTGGCTTAAAACAACATACATGTTTTACCTTTAGTGTCTGTGGGTTGAGAATCTGGGTGCAGCTTAAGCTGAGTGCTCTGATTTAGGGTCTCTCATAATGTTATGGTCATCTCCAGGTTCAACTTGGTGGGAGGAGGGCAGGAATCTGCTCCAAAGTCACTCACGGTTATTAGCAGGCTGCGGTTGCTGAAGAGTTGTTGGATCAACAGACTCAGTTGCTCGCTGGCTATTGGCTGGACATCTTCCTCAGTTCCTTGCTATGTGGGCCTCTCAATAGGGCAGCTTACAACATGGCATATATTTTTCCTTGGAGCCAGCAAGCAAGAGAGGAAGAGAGATCAAGCAAGTGAGGAGCCAGAAACTTCCTCGAAAGGCCATTACTTTTGCTATATTTTATATGATTGAAGGAAGTTCAGTCCAGAGTCAAAGATAGGGAGTCACACAAGGGTGTAAACACCAGGAAGCAGAATAATTGGAGCCATCTTAGAAGCTGCCTACCACATGGGGCATAACCAGGGACTGGCTTTGTCAAAAGAAGAAATGTTTTTTTTTTTTTTTTTTAAGAATTATTTTTTAATGTTTTTAAAGGTTTTATTTATTCATGAGAGAGAGAAAGAGAGAGAGAGGCAGAGACACAGGCAGAGGGAGAAGCAGGCTCCATGCAGGGAGCCTGATGTGGGACTTGATCCCGGGACTCCAGGATCACATCCTAGGCCAAAGGCAGGCGCTAAACCGCTGAGCCACCCAGAGATCCCCAAGAAGAAATGTTTGACAGATAAATGTTTGTATTCCAACATTAAGGAGGTTATACATGTTTCTAACTTACTCATGTTGAATGTTATGCTAAAAGGATATGGTGAAGGAGGTAGCAGATTGAAAAATGAAAATCGAGGACCAGGAGAAAATGAGAAAACCTATTCCACGAAGAAGCTACATGCCCATAAGTTGGAATTTCTACTCAAGTATTAAAACATTCTCAAAAGCCCCAGGAGACAGGACCAGACAAATGGAAGAGTTCACATGATAATCTACTGCCTAAAGAAAATGCAGAGTTCCGAGACCTTTAACTGACCCCACTCACCAAGAAATACTTGCAAAGGAGAGGAGGCAATATCCAATATCTGAATGTGCTATTGTAAGAAACCTCTAGAGACAAGGCAGACTCCTTTATATTTAAAATGAGCAAACTAATTAAAAATATCAAAGACAAAATGACCAAATTATATTTTCAATGACTTTGCATCCCTACAAGGAAGAGTCTAAAAAAAGGAAGAAAAACGTGTTGAGGACAAACACTTTAGGATGGGCTCTCTTTTCCCTGGTGTAGGCAGGCTGGTGATCCGGTCCCTGCCCACCTCTCAGGCCTCCTCTGCCACTTGCGTTGGCAAGTCCTGCGGCTGCCCTATTGGTCGGCTGGTCAGTCAGCAAAACACCAGCTCCTCCACAAACCTCATTTCATTCAGGTCCCTGCTCGAACGACACTTCATACCAGTTACCAGTCCCTGAAGTTACATCACACCTTGATTCATGGGACTCTTGATTTCAGCTCAGGTCACCTCCGTTGCTCTGAGCCGGCTGTGCACCCTGTTTGTCCTCCCTCTGCTCCCCAGCCTCCTGCCCCACCCCTGCCGGGAGTGCTCTCTCTCCGTCTCAAATAAATAAATAAAATCTTTTCTTTTCTTTTCTTTCTTTTTTTTTTTTTTTTTTTTTTTAGGTTTACATTATGGCTTTATTTTCTTTGTTTATTGCCCGGCTCCTCCACGGATATGAGAGTTCTATGAATTCAAGGTCTCAACTCAGAGCTCTTCAGCAAGCCATTGGTTCTTCTCAATAGAGTCTGAGGAGTGAATTGAAAGGGAAAAATAAGTGAAGCTCATTTAAAAAACAAGAACAAAACCAAAAAACAACCCAAAACCATGTCAGGAGAAGAGCATAGCAGAACAAGCGCGAAAATTTTGAGGAGCAAGCAGTGACCATTTGTTTTAGGACTGTGCTAATAACAAATTCACGCAGGAGGGGAAATATTTATGTTTGTGTATATGTAATTCATTTTTTTCAAACTCTCGAAACTCAAATGAACGAATCTATATTAATAAAATATTTAAGACCGTATATAAATATATAATATTAAAGACCTGATATAAACCTGCCCACACAGGGACTCTCTTTCCTCGAAGGGCGTGCTAACTTTGTGGATTCTCAGCCAAGGTACTGAGTTCACCCCTCCCTCTTTTTATTTTTATTTTTTTAAATTTTATTTATTCATGAGAGACACACTGAGAGAGGGAGAAGCAGGCTCCACGCAGGGCGCCCCATGGGGGACTCAATCACGGGTGTACAGGATCCCGCCCTGGGCCAAGGCAGGCGCCAAACCGCTAAGCCACCCAGGGATCCCCACCCCTCCCTCTTTTATAAAATGTATTCTTGTCGCTACTTGATTGGCTGGCCCCTGAAGGCGCCCCTTTCTAATTGGCCACACCACCCGTCCATCACGCCCGGACCGGGCACTCCATTGGTCCGCTGCCTCAGAGAGCGGTGGCTGGTCGCGCCGGGGCAGAGGGAGTTCCCCGGTGACGTCAGAGGCGCTCCCCGCCCACATTCCAAAGCCTGGGCTGAGCCTTCCCGCTGCCCAGCCTTTCGGGGCGGGACGGGGCGGGAAGCCTGACTTCTGATTGGGTCGGGCGGGCGCGGTGAGCATCCGATTGGTCACTGCCCTGGAGGGGGTGGAGTCATTAGCTGGGGTCCCGGAGCCGAGCTGAGGAGCCCTGGGGAAGTCTCCAAGTTTGCGTCTGGGGCGGTAGTGGGAAGTGGGCTTATTGCAAAGGGATTTTCTTGGGGTGAGACCCGATCTGCCTCTGTTTTGGACGCACGCCCTGCTGTAGCCCCTTCAGCCTTCAGCCGGGTCCCTGGACAGCCTGTCTCCCCCGGCAGTTCTCGGAGTTCCGAGGACACCGGCCGGGAGCCCTTGGCAGCTGGTTCTCCGGCAGGTAGACAGCACAGGACGTGCTTCCTTCCTAGGTGCCTAAGCTACAGGCGCACGCGCACAGCCTGCGCGCGGGACCCTAACCGCGGAGGCATCTCCACCCGCTGTGCTCCGGCCGCAGCATCCTCGCCCGGCATGGAGGTGCTGGAGAGCGGGGAGCAGAGCGTCCTGCAGTGGGACCGCAAGCTGAGCGAGCTGTCGGAGCCCGGGGAAACCGAGGCTCTGATGTACCACACGGTGAGGACCTGAAGGGCACGGGGGGGGGGGCGGGGGCTGCGGAGGAAGTGTCGGGGAGGAGGCAGGCATGCCCGGGGCAAGACACCGAGCGACAGGTGTGCTTTTGCCCCCCGGACAGACCAGGGTGGGCCCCTGGCCCTTTTAGGGCTTCCGTGATCGCAGTGACAGTTTGTGTTCCTTTGGCAAGGAAGGCTCTGTTCCCGAGCCTGTTTCACCCCTGCTGGGGGGCAGGGGAGAGCCCAAGGGGTAGGTGGTGGAGAATTCGGTGCCACTGTTGAGTCTGCTGCTGTTCCCTGGGAAGGTTTGGAGAACTAAACAAAGTGGCATTTTCTTGCCTTCGCTGTCACAGTCTCTCTCTTTACTTTTTGTATGTTTCTGGAAGGAATTGCACGGGTGTGCGTGTGTCTGTGTGTGTGTGTGTTTTGGAAAAGCTTCTTTGACATGTAGGAGAGAGACTAGGTTATTTGGTCTCTAACTGGACAGCCAATAAATCTGCTTCCTCTCTCTTCTTCAGGGGAAAGATCAGCAGAATATGGAAATCTGAGGCAGTTGCATATGTCAGAAAGGCTTTGGAGGAGGTGGGACGGCTCCCCAGTTCTTTGTTCCGTCTTATGCGTCAGGGACCCGTTTGGGGATTGAACTGTCACAGAACACTGCACATTTCTTTTAAAGGTGTCAGGTTCAAGTGTTTGGCATTGAGTTTGCAAAATAAACTCCTGCTTCCAACAGCCAGCAATGATAATATGATTTTATGTGAGATCTACTTTTTGCTTGTTTCTTAAAAATGCAGAAGTTAGTAATGAGTGAGAGACAGAGACAGAGAACTAATGAGAAGACGAGAAGCTTGGCTGTTTTCCCTTCATGATTGTTTTTAAGGGGGTCAGTGCCAGGATATTTGAAACTTTTGCAAAATGGCCTGCAGGCCCCACCTCCTTGGCCTTTGCCTCTGGTTGACGTTATTTTGGGAAAAGGGATGAGGGCCTCCCTGTGATTCCCACCAAAGCATTTGTGATGGCTGAGAATGGCTTGTTGGAAAAATGCAGAGTGCAGGGCGGAGAGGGAGTGGTAGTTCATGCTGGGGCAAAAGCCAGATGTGTAGTGGGATTTGGGTTTTGCTCGCTGAGGCTTTCCCCGAGGAGATCATTTGGGCTGCATTTGGTTTGGGGGCCCAGATGAACTTCCTGTTGTCAGTCCAGGACTTAGAACACATTGGCCCTCAAATATCTCCTGGTAATTGGGTGCTCCAGGTGTTTCTACTGACATGGGCGGCATTTTAACCATGGGGTGGAGGGGGGAGGCAGTTCTTCTCTTTTGTTCTTAAACATACTATGAAAACGTCTCATCCAGCAGCTGTAATGCCACAGCTTTGGGGTTGTCTTTCAGCTGGTGGCATGAATTGTGCACAGGCATACACATTCCCTTTCGGCCTGTGACTTGCATTTGTGAGATCACAGACTAGGATTTAAGATGCTACCTGTGACCATGACATTAACTCCAGACAGAACAGTTTGGACTGGCTCTAATTAAGATCTTTATGAAGAGTGTCAAGGGTAGAGACCTTACATTCCTTTTGGTATTAAGAGCTCAGTTTTTCTTTTTTAAAGATTTTATTTATTTATTCATGAGAGACACAGAGAGAGGGAGACAGAGAGACAGAGACAGAGACACAGGCTCCATGCAGGGAGCCCGATGTGGGACTCAATCCCAGGTCTCCAGGATCACACCCTGGGCTGCAGGCAGGCGCTTAACTGCTGAGCCACCCAGGGATCCCCCAAGAGCTCAGTTTTTTTTTTTTAATTTTTTATTTATTTATGATAGTCACAGAGAGAGAGAGAGAGAGAGAGAGAGAGAGAGGCAGAGACACAGGCAGAGGGAGAAGCAGGCTCCATGCACCGGGAGCCTGACCGAGCTCAGTTTTTCTATGTTACTGTGATGAAGCAGTGATGTGTGATTATTTTTCCTCTAATTTTTTATTTTTTTAAAATGACTTTTATGTCTGCCACTTAGGAATGTGTCTCTTTTCTGGGCAGCTCACTCTTATAAAATGCCACTCATCATTACTACGGGTCCTTGCCAACACACTATGTATATGAATTAATGTTGAAAGAGGTATTGGATTTAGTAGCAACAGACGACTGGATTGTATTGCTTCTAAACTAAGGGGAGCTTTGGCAGAGATGTGAATATAGATAACTTTCCCATCTGTTTCTTGAACTCTGCTGGGTATCCAATTGCAGAACTGGTTTAAATTGCTGTTCGTCCAAAATGTGGAATAGTCTGACCCCCAGGCCTAAATAGGGATTTAGTTACCACATGCATGATTGCTAATGCCCTGTTTTAGCAAACCTGTCACCTACCTGATTTTAAAAACGTAGAGGGTTCATATCGCCTGAGGCTGGGATTGTACCTTCTCTGGTGCCTTCTGTGAACCAGCTGGAGCAGTGTTTTTCTCATATGGTTAGTGGGGAGAAGACTTCTCGGTTCAGAAGGACAAAGGCTTAAGAAGGGACAAGTTCCAAGCTTACAAAATAATTAAGTACATGGATAGGATGAATATGCACTTGCTCATTAGATCCCAAGTTTTTAGAGCTTTGGGCTTCCTCTTGGAGCTTAAAAAGTAGTTTCCATACAGATGACAACATATTATTTTAAAACAGTGAGTAGTACTTTTACGGATGCTGTTGTATCTAGAGTGCGTATAGGCTAAAAGTGGGCCTAGAAAAGATGGTAGATCTAAAAATGAGAGTGTGTCTCTTTTCTGGTTTGAAAGCATTGTGAGAAATCTTGTTCCTTCCCCCAAACCTGCCTGGATATTGGGCATTTCTAACACATATGTTGTGTTCCTCTAAGATTCGGTGCAAATTACATTTCTGGGCATTCGTTGTGGGATTTTGTAATTTAAAGAGGAAAACAGGCTATAAATTTTATCTACTTATATAGACACAGTTCATATTCGGAAGGACGCTCAAGAAATGAATAATTGTTTCTGGCACGGCAATCTGGGGACTGGCGGGGTCAACAGAGGGAGCAGGGGTGAGGGAGTTATTTATATACTACCCCTTTTATACTGTTCTATTTTTTACCTCCAGAATGTATTTAGAAAATGTAAAATTAAAGCTTAAAGGCACCATGTAAGACTGGACTAGAGGTGATTTTAACTTGAGTCTCCCTAGGGGGAGAGGAGATCTGGTGCTCCATTAAGGCTCAACACTTCCTGAGGCACCTGGGTGGCTCGGTGGTTGAGCGTCTGCCTTCTTCAGCTCAGGTCGTGATCCCGGGGTCCTGGGATCGAGTCCTGAGTCCCATATCAGGTTCCCCACAGCTAGCCTGCTTCTCCTTCTGCCTATGTCTCTGCCTCTCTCTCTGTGTCTCTCATGATTAAATAAATAAAATCTTAAAAAGAAAAAAAAAGGCTCAACGTTTTCCAAGTCAGTGGAGGCCTTGGTGAATAGAGGAGGCGGCCGGAATCCTTGGTGGAAGGGGGCTGTACGGGTAGAAGATTAACTGTGAGTTTGGGTCTGATAAACTTTATGATCTTGGTAACTTTCTTATATCTCAGTTTAACAATCTGGAGAATTGGGATTTTTTTTTTCAATTTTTGCAATGATTTTAATCTTTGTAGAAAACTATACAATGGAGTCTGCAAAGATAATGATGGTCGGTTTTGTTTTCAATGCTGTTCATATCAATCTAGTACTTGTAAGTTTATTTAGTGGTTGTGCACTAAATTTTTATATCTGGTTGGTTCTTCAAGTGAAACGACCAATACCAGACAGTGGGAGGTAGAGAGTTAAGGGGCTGTTCAACCTGTGTCCAGATGTGAAGGCCATCTGGCATCCACATCTATCACTGAGTTCTGGGATGGAGTTGGCTAATCTCACAGGCTGGTGGTTTCCCCTTCCTCCTGGCTGGCCCAGCAACTGTTGTGGCTCCAATGGGATATTGAAGATTTGGGGCTGATGTACCACCTTGGGGACAACTCCTATTATTGGCCCCTGACCAGGTTCTGTGGTGGAACCTGGGGTCCTGCTGGCTTGAGAATATCATTGCTTGTCACCTGATCTTCATGCATTGAATGATAAGTAATGAGTTCTAGTTGAATTGCAAAGCAAACATAGTTTGTCTTCAAGGCCCTCACTTCACCTTTCTTGACCTTTGTTTTCATGTTTTCCTCCCTTCTTGGCCCTCAAGTACTCACTGTAATGATATTCTCTTTCTAACTCCTAAATTTTGCTCTTATGAAAGATTTGATGAGCCTACACTGAAAATTTAAATATTAGTAAGGTTTAACATATGACCCCCCTAAATGGGCATTTATATTTAACAGTAATTACTTCCGCTCAAAAAGGTGAATCTCTAAATGGAGAACTTCTGGCAATACCCAAGTTGTAGGGGAGGAATATTTGGGGAGTTGGGGGAGCACTCACTATTCTTCTATTCCATATACTTGGCTCTTATTCATAAAGCGGCCAGGTACCTGTGTTGCTAATATATCTATGATCTAGTGATCATAGATCCTGGTGATCTTGGTGAAATTTGTTTGACCTATTAGATTGTTGTCTCTGAAATTGTTCTCATGGTGATAACACAGGTTGGGGGCAGGTGGACTCAGGCATACTGCTGAAAGTTGAGAGGGCACTACTGGGTTTTGTTCTTGCCCTCTTTCTTGAAAGACCCCCAAGTAAGAATGTTCTATGGAAGCAGGGAAGTCTGATGTGAAGCTGGTCTTGCAAGAGAAATGAGGAATTGCATCTAATTTAATTGAATTAAATTACAATTTTTGCAGCTGTAAGTAACTGAAACCTGATTCAGATTGCTTATACAATAAGTAAATTATTATGTCATGTTGTAAGTATATAGCTCCTTGTTTGACTGGGCAACTCCTCTGTGTCATTATGGTCCTAACTGCCATCCATCTATGTGCAAATTTCATCTTTGGGCTCGATGCAATGAGAAAGCAACTCATTGCCATATGAGTTTCTGGTATTTGATTCAAAATG